TTTTTTACAAATCTCCCAAACGGAATTTTTTTTAATGAGAAATGGTTACCTAGCAAAGTAAAAAAGATATGTGATGTTTATAGAAATTCTTCCATAGCTGAGAGCAGTGTTCGCAAGTGGCTCGCTAGATTCAGAAGTACAGGTCTACAGTCGTTGATGATAACCAAATCAAAACATTGATTAAAATTAATAAAGAACATCATAGATATAGTCCACATGTCTCATATAAGGCATTTGATAACGGTAGGATACGTGAATATCTACAATGTTTAGGTGCATCAGGATTTAAAATCCCGAGTCAGTGTCTATTTGCCTACATGCAGGGCACACACTCGATCACAGTCGGCATCATAGAGTGATTATAAACTCCACGATCCTTTCACTGGTTGCCTGTGGTTCGCCAGGGCTATAGTGATTTTCGCAGCGTAGACGTGGCACAAGGCCGAGGTAGGGGGGCACCCAGTGAGGATCGAACTCACTACTCAGTCGTAATTGTTCTAGCAAAACAAGCTTGCTAACCATTACACCACCTCGAGGTGCCCTAATTCGCCAGGGCTATATATGTATTTATTTAATTCAGAATTGTTCTTCTCCTAGACTGGTTGACACCTAAGGCTGAAGAGTCCAGTCTTACTATCTTCCCACAGCTGGAGGTTTTGAATCGTGAGTTGCCTTCTCCTAACGAGTCCAGTCTACCCTACTATTTACACATAGATTCATACCTTTTCCAAAGGGTATTTCTACGTAAGTGAATGTAATGAACTCAAGTGGAATTCGAAATCTGCTCTCTGATTCCTCAATCCGAGCCGCTAGCCGCCATCACTCCACCGATTACAAAAGACTAATGTACTACATCTACGATTCTTTTTGCGTATTACGTGCTCCTTCCGCAAAATCAGACGTTGCAATCGGACAAGTACTGTTTGCAATTGGACCGATTAAATGTAGCAATCGTTGAAAAGCGTCTGGTATTGGCTAATCTTTATGGAAAGAACTTCAATTGTCTGGAAGCCGGTAAAACCCATTTAGACCCATTTATCACACAGAAAGATGCAAAGTTCTGAGAGAATAAAAGAAACTAACTTAAGGATGGCGAAGAACAGTAGGACAGATGTGGTTGAATAGACCTGTGTACCAATATCTAAATATTGTCTTTGGAATTAATTTTTTAAAAAATCAATACGAATATTAGCACCGACGAAATAAACAAGACCAGTCTGTTTAATATTTTATTATATTTTACCAATTTTCAGAATGAATATATCAGTATTAAAATTAACAAATAAATTAACTAATTAATAAAATAAATCGCAATCTTTTTGTATTGCCTCATTCCCAATAGCAGTTCCAAATGACGAAATGTTAGACCATTTAAAAAGTCCAGCATCCAAATGAATGATGAAGAAAAAGAGTTACAACTACCACACAGACACCAAATAATTTCTTGATATTGACTGTATACTCGAAAGTACTTGAAGGAAATAACAAAATATGACCTTCGGACAGTTTATCAATAACTTCAAACATAATATTCAGTATCTTATCCGAAAAATAGGAAAATATAATAAAAAATTAAACAGACAGGCCTTGTCAGTTCTATTTAATCAGACTTGTTTAGATGAATACTTTCTGCCTAAAGATACCTTATATATATATATATATATATATATATATATTAATGCATGTTTCATTAAATAATATAGACATGGGTTCAGTACTGGGTCCGACATTTAGCAATTTCTACATGTTGAACCTCGAAAATAAGATATTTACAGATGTTAAAAAACCTTCCATCTAAGATATGTTGATGATATCCTTATGTTAGTTAAAAATACAGATGAAATACTTCAACTTCAAAAACGTTTCCAAAATAATTCTCTCCTTAAATTCACGTATTAACTCAATACTAATAATAAAATTCCCTTCCTTGACATATTGATAAACACAAATAATAACAAATTTACTATTTCGCCATACAAAAAAAAACTACCAGCATAAATTCATGAACACTTAACTACAAAAGCGAATGTCCATATTACTACAAAATTGCAATTATAAAAAATCTAATACATCGCGCAGAATCTAATTCGTCTTCAAAACAGAATTTTTACAGTGAACTCAAGAATATAAAACAAACACTTATTAATTATAGCTTTCCAAACTATTTAGTTGATGAACAAATAAAATGCTTTCTTAGAAGTCTTAATACTAAGCAAATAGAACATAATACTGCTTCAACTAATCCCAAACATATTAATCTCTTATATCACAGTCAAATGCATAATAATTATAAACAAGATGAAAATATACTAAAAAAATTAGTAAATACTAATATATCTACAACAGATCCTAGCAAAAGATTAGGTTAATCATATACTACACTAAATCTAGTATATCCAACGATATTCGCAATTATTCTTCCCCCCTCCCGGTTAGTGATTTGCAAAAAAAACAACATAGATTACAAATTCAAGTGCCCTTTGGGAGATTATATCCCCAATGGATTAAATAATATTTATGTTGGTCACACCACAAACTCGCTTTCACGACGCTTGACTCTACATTTGAATGATAACTCTAACATTTTTAGGCATTTAAAACAACATGTCTGGCCGCGTACACAATTCCGGAAAATCCTTGTTAAAAACACAACTAAGTATAGTTCTGTTTTAATATTAAAACATTTTTAACATTAAAGCAATAAATAAAAACTAAAAATACTTGAAGCTATATACATAAAACGGTTGAAACCTAACCTGAACAAAATAAACTACGAAATCTCCACAAATATTCTTAAATGCCTATAATTGGTAACAGAAGCCATTGGCTTATAACAACGCCTTCCCATACTTAATACTTCTCGTTTTCACTGTCGCGTGGTCATGTGGGACGTCACGAGGTGCGACGCGATTTTCGTTTCCGCGTCTCGTATACACGAGTTAGTCGTTGCTTTGAAATTTTTCATGCAACAAAAATAGACTATCATTATTGTTTCGTCCGTGTATTGGTTGATATATTGAAAAGTAATTGTCATCTTTGATAATGGCTTATGTAAGCCGAAAGCTTAGATTGGATTTAAACATGTATCAATATGGTGATTTCCTTTCGTCTTTCAATGATAATGTTATTAAGCTTATCAGACAATATGAAGGGAACTTACTTAAAATAAATAGACAAAACTTGTCTATATTATTTAATATAACATGCATTAATGAAAAACTGCTGCCTAAATATACACTATATATATATATATATATATATATATATATATATATATATATATATATATATATATATACAGACAATGTAGCTGATGTAATTATTTATGAGTCCGGTTTGGTGAGGAACGCAGTTCCTTAAAGAGAATTTGAACTCATAGATAATGTTCGTTCTTTAATAATTTTGACTTAGTTGGTGTGTTGTTATTTTTGAGGATAAGGTTGGCCGTCTTAAAGTTTTTATCCTCATCCAATTATTTATGAGTTCAAATGCCCTTTAAGGAACTGCGTTCCTCACCAAACCGGACTCATAAATAATTACATCGGCTACACAACCACATGTTTATCCAGACGTCTTACATTACACCTATCTGATCACAGTTCCATCAGAACACATTTAAACACACACTTAGATTTACCCGACACTATTAGGAACATACTAGTAGAAAACACAAATATATTAATTGCAAAAAAAGACTAAAAATAATGGAAGCTCTAATAATAAAAAAGAAAAAGCCAACTCTTAACAATATTAACTATGAACAAAGCCATAATGTGCTAACCGTATTCGGAAACTAAAAACATCACTACCACACACAGAACACACACACTCTACTAAGCTGATAATTGAATCATCCTTGATAATGGCTAAAGGTATAGCCGAAATCGCTCGGAAATACAGAACATTCGGACAGTTCTTACACACTCTGTGTCCAGAAAAGAAAGCTCTTGTCAGAACACAAGAAAAATTAAATAAAAAGCTCAACCGTAGTACCTTGTCTGTCGTTTTTAATGAAACATGCATAAAGGAAGGATTGCTGCCTAAATATACAAATATATATATATATATATATATATATATATATATATATATACTGGTCGATTTAAAAGTAACTCCTCACTTTAAAATACTTATAATTTATTTATTAACTATAATTTTTACAAATTTTTATTCGCCCTTCAAATTCTTCCAAAGTCTTGGTTTGGTATTGTAGACTTGCTTCTTTAACCATCGCCAAAGAAAAAGTCACAGGGTGTTAAGTCAGGACTCCTGGCTGGCCGCTCATACATAAAATAATAAAAGAGTTACTTTTCAATCATCCTATATATATGTATGTGTGTGTGTGGGGGGGGAGAGAGAGAGAGAAAAAGAGAGAGAGAGAGAGCGAGAAAGATACAAGGAAAAGATCTTCTTATTCCATGTATGGCTGTTATGTTTCCCGTTGCAAGTAGGCATTTTACGCGTTAGAGTTGCCAGACACCCCACCCCACCTCAACCAGTTTTGAATTCAGAATTATACTTCTCTTAGAAGAGTTCACAACCAAAGAGAAAGAGCTCAATCTATCCTGCTATTAAGCCGGTCCGAGAGGAGAAATGGTTTCTTACCTATTCCATAGTTATTTGCGCGAAAGTGAATGCAATATTTCCATTTTCGCCAATGATAGCCATTGCGCTACGTTCAAATCTGATTGTGTATGTTAAAATATAGATACGAACAGACGGAGGTTCATAGATAGATTTGATTGATTCATTCATTTTCTACCGCTTACCAACACTTTTCAGGTTATTTAAAGCCAAAAAATATTCTATTGTAGGATCTTTATTGAGATAATAATGATTTAGTGATACAAGTCTTACTAATTAACCCATAGCTGGGCGAGAAGAAGTTAATTTCATCTTTCCTAAGGGTATTTGCGCGTAAGTGTACATGTATAATTGGAGCTCGGCACTCCGATTAACCATGCCGAACCATTATCCATTGCACCTCCCGCACACCCATGCTTACAGTACCTAGTATTTCCAAGCGGTCACCCATCTTGGTACTGACCACGCATGAGTTTGCTTAACTTCGGAAACCGGTGTTTCAACTTGATATGTCCGGAAGCAGATAGATAGATAGATAGATAGATAGATAGATAGATAGTCTGAAATAGGATTTGTGTATAAATATACACATTCACCTATGGACACGAGCAACACAGTCTCTTCGTGTAAGTTCCATTTAATTACAGAAGCAATTTATCAATTGTGCCTTCATTAATTTAGCCTTAAAGCTTTCTTTGGAAAGTTTGACAATCAATTGACTTGCAAGTGTTACGTGGTATTCAGATTCGAACTGTTTCTTTGAATAATGTATGAATAAAGTGACTCCTGAAAGGACACATTAAAAAAAAAAAAAAGACTTATACACACGCAGGCACACAAAGACCACGCGCACGCCCATAAACACATATATTCATGATTTCTCTATGTGCTCGTTGCCGAGTGGTTGGAACATTCGCTTTCCAACCATGAGACACCGTTGGAATTTCACCATGGCAGATTTGTCAGGAAGGTTATCTTGGTGTTATAGAACTGGGGGGGGCGATTCCAGTTTGTAGAACCTTTGGAAACTGCTTTGGTTGACCCAAATACTTATGATTGAAATCGGTTAGACGGTACTGTTCAGAAACTGACGATGCTTTTGCTCAACGTGACGAGTGTTTTTGCGCAATGGCCTTGTTCAGTATACACACACACGGTCACACACACGCGTAACACACAAATGAAGCTCTGGTCAGATAGGTGTAAGGTAAGGCGTCTTTATAGGCATGTAGTTTGATCAGGAACACAGTTCTTTAAGGGCCATTTGAACTCAAAGATAATGTTCGTTCGTTGTAATTTTGGTTTAGCTGGTGTGTTGTTCTTGAGGATAAGGTTAGCTCTCTTAAATCTTTTATAGTAGATAGTTAATTTGATTTTTGTACTCGAGTCGATTGGGGTAGTGTATTTCTTTATAATATTTCTAAGTGAAGATATGAATATTTATAATATCTTCATGTCTTTATTATATTTCTAAGTGAAGATAAAATCTATTACTTCTTTATATATATATATATATATATATATATATATATATATATATATATATATATATATATATATATATATATATATATATATATATATATATATATATACAGTACCTTGTCTGTTGTTTTTAATGAAACATGCATAAATGAAGGATTGCTGCCTAAATACACTATATATATGAATGTGTGCTTCCATTTTGTCTTCGTTCCTAACTGTTAAAATATGTTTTTTTTTAATTTGTTCCCTCTATTTGAGTGATCATTTTTCAATGGATTAAATTCTTTTTCCTTTTTTCTCATTAACAAAGTAATAATAAAATAAATTATATTGTTTTAAGTTTTATTTTCATTTACTCTTATTTTCTACTCCAGGAATCAGTATTTTTATCGTCATAACTTTTCCTCTCCGTTCCCTCCTCTTTCTCTCTCTCTCTCTCTCTCTCTCTCTCTCTCTCTCTCTCTCTCTCTCGTTCCCTCATCTTTCCTCCCTCTTCCTCTCGAGTTACAGCTCTTTCCATTTTCTCTCCATTTCGCACTTTCTCCTACTCGCCCTTTCCCTCTTTCCCTCTCTTTCTATTTATCCCTCTCTATTCTTCTTTCTGTCTCGTTCTCTCTTTCTCTTTCTCTGTCATCCTTCATCTCTCTTTCTACTTCTTATTGTCTCTCATTCTCTCACCTTCTTTATCGCTTTCTCTGTCTACCTCTTTTTGCTTTTTATCTTCTCTCCCTTTATCCATCTCTCTCCCTCCCTGTCTCTCACCTACTCTTTCTCGTCCCTTTCCTCTCGCTATCACCCTTTCTCCCACTGTATTATTTATTCTTTCACTTCCTATCTTTCACTTACCCTCTCCCTCTTTCTCTCTCTCTCTCTCTCTCTCTACCCTCTTTCTCTTTCCTATTTCCTATTCCTTTCTTTGTCTCTCCCTCTCATCCTTCCACTTCTTTCTTCTCTTTCCCTCTCAATTTTTCTCTCACTTTCTTCCCTCTCTTCTTTTTTTCTGGTTTTATACCCTCTCTCTCACTCACTCTCTCTCTTGATGTTTCTCCATTTCTCTCTCTCTACTTCTCTCTGTCTTTTTCTCTCCCTCTCTTCTTTCCTCCATCTGCCATCCTCTTCTCGCTCTTTTCTCCTTTGCCCCATTAACACGATTGCGCCATTGTTTTGATTATTACTATTAATGCAACGATTGTCCCGACGGCTATTGGTAATATTCTAACTGCAAAATGAACGTTCGTTCTCATCACTTTTTAAAGAACTTTCCAATTATTCTATCATTAATTTACTTTCTAGCTCTCAGTATATCCTTCATTCTATTTCTATTTCTTCTGAACAACCAGTTGGGTTATTGTAGTTTTGCTGTTTTTCATGTTCATTAATTCGCCTCTTATTGGTTCGTCCCTACCGGCTTAAAACCTTTTGGGATTGCTACCGGATTTACTCAACCTTTACAGCGATGCAATTCTGAGAGAATTCGAAGTCCTACCAGGATTCATTATTGATGGTCATAATTTTAACAACATAAGGTATGCAGATGACATAGTGTTGGTAGCAGATACGGAAAGGAAGCTACAAAATCTCCCACAGAAGGTAGCGAAGGAAGAGTTAGCAAATCTAAGCAGAAAAAATTTGTTAGAAACAAAGAAAAGAGTATTGAACTGTTATATCTGGAAAATATCCTCAATGATGGATAAGGTTGTAAAAAAGATACTGAGGATACCATAGACCGAAAATGTAAACAATGAGAAGGTTTTAGAGAAAATCGAATCAAAAAGGAAACTTGTACTTAACATCAGGAAGAGGAAATGTCTGAGGCACGTAATGAAGACATCATCTCATCATCTTGCGGCCTCAGCCGAGATTGAACTCACTACACCTTTCCAGTATTCCTTATCTGTCATAGCTAATACTTTAATTTGTGTAGTTCATAGTCTTGTCAAATAGCTGAATTCTTGATGCTTCGCTAGGGCTATCAAGGGTGTTTTTTATCGTGACACCATCACTAAATGGATTGCCAACCAAGGCTCAGAGAGACTCCATTCACCCTCCGCGGGTTTTGAATTCAGAGTTTTCCTTCTCCTAGACCAGTTACCATCCAAGGCTATAGAACCCAGTCTGTCCTGCTATTTACCCATAGCTGGGGGGAGAAGAAGAGGATTCACACCTTTCCCAAGGGTATTATCACGTAAGTGAATGTAATGGATTCGACTGGAATTCGAACTCGGCTCTCTGATTCCTCAATCCAAGCCGCTATCCATTACTCCACCGTGCCTCCACTCCGTAATGAAGAAGGAGGGCTTGGAAAATCTGATACTCATAGGACAGATTGAGGGAAAGAGGGACAGGGGAAATAAGCGCATAACATACTTGATGAGCTTGAATCAGTGGACGAACCATAATGGACAGGAAGATGTGGACGGCCATCATCGCCTACGTCCCGAACGGACATGGCACATAAAAGATGATGTTTAAATAATTTCATATCTTCACCGATCCGAAAATAATTTAAACACGTCCTGTGCAACCTGGGTATGACGATAGACTACATCCGACAGCAAGGCCCCTAATTGGGATGTTTTGAGAGGCGTAGAACCACCTCTTGATTGCTTTTGTTCTCAGATCCACCATGATCCGGGGTGGTAGCCTCTGTTAGGGTTCCGGTTTGGGGCAAATAGTGAACCCTGAAACTGGGGTTAAAACATTATGAAAGTATAAATATACATTTTGTAGTAAGAATAACAACAATACATTTTCATAGTAAAAGGGAAAAAAATGAATACAGCAATACGATTTTGGAAAAAAAAAATTACCGAAGCTCCTCCCAAAATTAAATTTTGGCATTAAATGACCCATAAGAAGTTGATATGCCGTTAAACGAGCCAAACCAATCCTGTGCAACCATCATTACTAACAACAAGACAACCGCATAGGCTGCTCCACCTCAGCTCCTGATATCCCCTCGTATCTACATTATTTATTAAATCTGTTCAGTCGTAATAAAAATCCAATACAAATATGATTTTTGACTTCAGGACTGATAAAAAGACTGCATTAATCAGTTACTACATCTGGTTGTATCGATTACTTGTTAGTTGTTTTTCTTTTCCCGTGTTTTCCTTCTCTTTTTTTTCAACTTTATCTTCTGCGTTTCATATTGATCGTGGTTTTAAGACTCTTCTCCGACCACATTGGTAGAACATTCCACAACGCAACACAGAGAGATTGGTATTCATTTACCTGAAACTTTGGAATTAACCCCTTCCCCTTTACTCTTACACACCCTTGTTTTCACTACTGGCGCTTTTTTATATTGTTTATATTTTGTGCCGAGAAAACAATCATCAATATATATATATACGACATCGCCCACGTGACGACGACGTGATCATATTTAAACGGAACGCTGATCTTATATAAAAATTTCAGTTATCTGTTTGGATTAGTCGTGCTCTTGTGTCCATCGTCTTTTTCATGTTGAATTGAATATAGTCTAATGTTAATTATGTTTTATGAATATGTCCTGATGATGGTCTAAAATAGACCGAAACGTCCGACGTTGACATTATATTAACATTAATACAGCATAATTGCTTATTAAGATTTTTGTTTGTTTTTTCTGTATATTTTTCTTCATATATATATATATATATATATATATATATCACCTTCACAATACAGTAAAATACCAACATACCAATATACTACACCACGAAAATAATAAACAAAAATTTCAAATTCTTTAGGTAATTTATGTCAAAATCAACCAATCAACACTCAATAAAATTTATAACGAATATGGCAACAACATATTAAGGTACATATAACAAACATTTAATTTTATTTTACATTTCAACGAATTTTTGGTCAGCTCCCTTATAGTGAAACGCTTATTTTCCTAACCATAATTGATAAATTTAGAATTTTAAAATAACTATAACAGAATGTTTTTACGCATGTTTTTAAAAATCACCATCACAACAGAATGCAGATTTTATTGCAGTTACAATAAGATTGTCTTTTTAATTTACCCCTGAAGATGATCTTGGAAAAGATCGAAAGTACTTAGGTTAGAAACAAACTACGGCGCTTTCCTTGATGAATTTCATTTTCTTGATGTTAAGAAACATCAAGAAAATGATTAGACGACTGGAAGGATCAATATAAAAATAAGTAGACACAATATGTCTATACTATTGAAGGAAACAACTCTGAATGAAGATATGCTGCCTAAATATATATACATATATATATATATGTGTGTATGTGTGTGTGTGTGTGTGTGTGTGTGTGTGCGTGTGTGTGTGTGTGTGTGTGTCACATTATGAAATGGACAAAGTCCGACAATTATTTTATGACATTTTTAATTTGTATCTAGAAAAAGAATGTATAAACATAAAAATGTCTTTAAAAATATATGTGTATATGTGTGTGTATGTGTGTGCATTAAACGTTTAGTAACACAAAAGAAAACGAAAAGAATGCTTATTCAAGTGAAAGGACTCAGAGCAAAACTACTACTGCTACTGCTACGTCTGGACCTATGCAATTTGCTAAGACAGTGTTCTAATGCAATGTGTCAGCATCAATTATTGATAATCATATGGAAACTATATAGAAAGTAGATTAATTTCGACACACGTATTGTTTGTTTATGCATTAGAGTCATGCAGAAAATTGTTCACGACTTGATTTAGGAGATTATTCGACGTCTGTTTACAGGTCTGCCGACGATCGGTCGAATCCACACGATACAGTCACGTTCTTCCGCAACGGCCACACAAGAAAGTATTTTTATAGAGTATAATTCAGCCAGTAGGAGTCTCGAGTGTCATTAAAGGTAGGGGATTGCTGTTGAAGTGTTTGTTTTTAGTTTCTTTTAATCATTTCACCCCAAGTAGGGCGAGAGTGCCACTAGTATGCAGGGGTTTACAGGGAGTAAAAAAGGCAAAGAGAAGCCTGAGAATAGGGAGGATTGAAGAAAGGACAAAAGATGAACGGGATTCAAGAAGACAGAAGATGGCGATTGATGCTGCAATTAGATTTTTGAAGATTTTAATTATAAGGGGAGGAAGTAAACGAGATCCACAAGCGGAGAAAAGAAACTGTTGGAGTAGAAGTGGCGATTGCATTTTGCTATTTCAACAGTAAAAGTGTGGGACCTATAAACCAAACTAGTAGCACGCTTAAATTTATGTAGTCAGGACACCAGGGGAAAAAAACTCGTTTGAGCAATTGCCATGAAAATATTTATGATGAATAAAATGTATGACATGAATGAAAGTTAGGAAGTGAACATTATGAGGATAAGGAGGCTATATAATGATTAACTCTTGACTTGAAAAGGTTAAGATTTAGTGTTTGTGAAAACATCATCACATGAGTCTGCCCCACAACGTAGCAGTTATATTGGTAAAAAAGAGTCAGAGTAGAATAATCTCTTACACTACGGGGTAAATAAGAGTGATTCGAGTTCGTGGAAGTAGCATAGCGTGTCCTGGTTGTAATTATTTTGTTATGGTCCAGGTTAGGACCAAGGAAGAACAACACGAACACAAGAGTAGAAAATAACGAAGGTATATTACACGAAATAATAATACAAGATGTGGAAGGTGTTAGTATGACTCTCACTCTGGTTTGGAGTGAATTACTATCGGCTCGACTCGATTCGGTATCTAGCCACCCACCCCCCACGAGGGTTACATGTGGCACAAGGCCGACTTTTACGTGGGTTTCCCGAGCCCGTAGGCTCGGCCAAAAAAAATGCCTGTAGAACCCGTATAAACGGGATCTGGTTGGTCAATCTCCCCGAACGAGACTCTGCCCTTCGGCGGAGCCTCGTCCAGGTTCCTCTCTGCTCAGAGGCAGAGAGTTCGACCGTCAAGCCGAGAAGCTCGGATCGATTCGACCCTCTCTCTTGAGAGGCGTAGTATGCATAGTGTTAGGAAGAGTTCATTCTGTAGTTATAGGTAAGGACCCATGACATATCTGAATTGGTGGAACTAAAGGACTGGACTCGTCTGAACATTCGTTATTGAAAAAGCGAGCGATGTTGCGCCTGCGGGAAATGCAGAGCAGTCGGAAAGAATTCGATTTGCTCCGGTGTTGCCTCTTCTCTGGAAAGTGGGATCGTGAAAAGCTCCCAGACC